TTCTCATTAAAATATTCATCAAATTGTTTATTGTAATAACTTCATTTGTGTTCATTTAAATATTCACAATGCTTCAACTAGCTGAGTATCCTATCTCAATTAAAATAATAACCAATAATGATAATGAGTTTATTCCTTTTCTTCCATCAATTTTATAGAGAAAATAGAAGAATAATTTTGCGTAAATACAATTAATGGTTTTATTTAATTTTTAGTAAAAATGTAAATGGATACACAAAAAATAAAATGCATATTTTGCCTTAAAACAAATTCTTTAAGATAAAGATTATAGGGTCTACAGAAATATTAGATGGCATCCCATTCATCTTGTTGACATGTTGAAAATACTCCAACATTTTTTAATTCATTATTATTTATGATAAAAATGCATACTATGTAATACTAAATAACATAGATCCACAAAAAAGTTCTGTACCATATACATTGTGTTGAATTTGGATCCACAACCCAAGAACCGATTTAGCATGGCATTTTTTAATAAAATATCCCAAAATAGGATGATAAAGTGAGGATAAGGTAAAGCTTTACTCGTATAATGAAAAGCAAAAATTTGTGAATACTTTGAGGAAAAATTTTAAAATAATATTTTGATAATAGAAAGAAATATATGCAAATTAAATTCACACCCATCCTTACGAGGGGGTAATTGCATATACCTAGTCGACAGTATGTGTAAGGAGGATAAGAAGCGTTCTGCCGAGTTGGAAAGGAATGCTTTGACAACAACAGTAAGGAATCTCTGACTACTTAGTAAGGAATACTCTGATCATAGATTAAAGAAGTCTGCTTCAGTTGTTACTGTTGCTGCTGCTGCTGTTGTTGTACATTTTATTGATGTCGTTGTCCTGCTGCAGCTGCTGCTGATGTTGTTGTTGTTGTTGTTTTTGTAGTTGTTGCTGTTGATGTTGCTGTTGTAGATCAATAGCATCAATAACAACGACAACAATAGCAGCGGCAACTACAACAACTAGTACTGCTGATACTACCACTACTACTACGGCAACAACAACAACTACTACAACGGCAACAGAAGTGGCAGCAACAGCAAGATCAGTAACAGCAATAACAACGACATCTAATCTAAAGCAACGACGTTGATTACGCTCTTAAATCTTGTCCTTGAACTGGTTTCCTTAGTCGACATTATGCGTAAGCAGGATACGAAGCGTTCTGCCGAGTTGGGAAGGAATGCTTTGACTACAACAGTAAATAATCTCTGACTACTTAGTAAGGAATGTTTCTAATTTTTCGACATAGCCTACTTTTACTCAAATATAAATACTCATAAAAATGTTTATTTCTGTAAAATATATTTTTATTTTACATTTTCGTTTTCCTTAGTTTGTTTAGTTTTTACTTTGATATTATTTTTGCAAGAATTTGTATGATAAATGTTTATCACATCCTATAATCAGTCTGTCAACAACACGAGGTTCTAATATACATAGTCCGAAAATGTTTCCTGAAGAAGTCATTGCCCCTTGAACGCCTGTGGGCACGAATTTTATTTAATATCTTCGAAGCAATCATTCTAAAATTTGATTTCATATTTTGGAAAGTGGAATATAGTAAGACAGTTAATTATGATGAGGCAGACCTCTCGGAAGATGCTGCTAAGTGTAAGTAAAAATATATAAGGGGAGTAGATTTACGGAGAGTTACTAGGAGAATTAGTGGGATGTAAGGGGATTTACTAAGCAATTTACTGGATTTATTTAAGGGATTTACTCCCGGTTAGAAGTATATGGATAAAACCAAAACGATCAGCGAAGTGACGAAGTGAACCTAATATTACTTTTCCTTTCAAGTGCTGTACCGAGCTCGTCCTTCAGTTTATTTGCGTTACCTACAAGGGGTTTACGAAAATTAACTCGTAGTGATTAAAAATATATCTAAATATATCGCTTTCTCTCTCTAAAGTACTTATAACTCGTTTTCTATGTTTATTTGGCCAACGGCCAAAAGCAAACAGCCTAAAGTAATTCAATCTGACTATTTTACATTAAACGCCTCAGTTATCTAAACAAGTAAATAATATACTTATTTTTGTTGATATTGGGGGGCGTGGCCTCCCTCTGCCCCCCTAGCTGCGTCCATGCCCTACTTTCAGTTATCGCGTCCTCCGTATGGAGCCGCTTGTTTTCATTAGGATATAGATATTTATTTTTAACTGTTTTTCAGTACACCTTTGAGGTGATATTCCATATTTTTGTTCTACCCTTCGTTAGCTGTTAGTTGATTTATTTCCCTTTCTGGCTTCATACACTGGGTCAATATGTGGAACTGACGATATATTTTTAATTTATTAGATCTCTCGTTCATTCATTATGGACCTTTCTATGTAATCTCATGTCCGTTCAAAGGTAGCCTTTTGATTTATCAATGCTATTAGCCCCGATTAAATGAAATACTGAAATAAAGTTCTACCTTTTGTATTATTTCTGTTTCTATTCTCCGCAGTGGTGGTTCGTGCTCGGTTTGTATGAAGAGGTTAAATGTATATTGATAATACTCGCGCCGCGCCATTATTCTATGGCTAGAAATTGGCCTCAATGATTTGGGATCGAGGGGGATTATCCCTCTTTATCCTGCCTCATCTCGTGTAGGCCTGGACAGCCTTCGTAGGTGGGCCCCATTCGTCGTCTACCCCGACCGCAAATGCGGCCGGTGTAGGCGCTTTGTGGGACCTCCTTTTGTCCTGGCTGGGCCCCGCCGGCTAGGGCCCTTTCTTCTGGCGAATAATACTGAAATTTAGCATAATTAATTTTTTTTTACAATTAGCATTCGTATACGATTCTTACTTAAGATAAAATGGAATAGATAAAAGGAGAAATATTACAAATGATAATTGTGTTTTACATCTTAGGGCAGATTACAAAAAAAAAATCAGTTCCTTTTTTACAAGCGTAGTCACGCATAAATAAAACGAACATGGAATTCATATAAAAATACAAATAAATAAAAGAACTAACTATAAATACCCATATATTATTATTATTATTCGTGTATGTTAATATTAAACTATATTTATATGTTTCTTTTTATTTATGTTTATTTGATTGTATTAGCTATGTCTCTCGGTTACATAAATACCATACAAACCCATGTACATATGTTTTCAGCCACAAAAATTGAATAATTCCAAATATTTCGAATTTTCACCACCAAGAACGGCGGTGACAACATTTTTAACATTAAGGCGATGTTTCACATTGCATTAGCTTATAACCTTTCCAAATTTTGTTATTGCAACTCTCTCAGTTTCGAAAATACAGTACCCATGTATGTTTTCAGCCACGAAAGAATAATTGAATAATTCTAAATATTTCGAATTTTCATCACCAAGAACGACGGTAACAACATTTTTAACATTAAGACGATAATTCGCATTGTGTTAGCTATGTCCTATCCAAATTTGGTTAGTGCAACTCTCTCGGTTTCGAAAATACATGACCCATGTATGTTTTCAGCCACGAAAATTGAATAATTCCAATTATTTCGAATTTCCACCACCAAGAACGGCGATGACAGAATTTGTAACAACTGTTGAGTAGCCAAGGATCTGTAAAGTTTTTCTTAAAATTTGGGTGAATTTTAGTATAATATGTGCAAAACCCACACACCATCATATCACTTTTTTGCCTACCAGAAAAAAACGATAATATTTATTATAACGTGAAAGTAACCAACTTGTAGGGAATAAAAAAACATTTAAAATGGCGGTTTTTAAAATCCGATACGATAATTTGTTGCTCGGGAAATAGCAAAAAACTGTCAAAATTCGATTATTACTAAATAAGCAATAAGTTTTGCAAAAGTCAACCTACGACTTGATATTGCATAAACAGTTGGCTTTTATAGTCCTTAATACGTGATTAAAATTTCAGACCGATTCATCCAATAGTTTTTGCAAAATTGTAAATGTTTATCCCAGAGGCATTATTTTTGCAATAATTACAAAGATATAATTCTGCGGGTGTCATATGAAAGAGAAAGTCTTCTTTTATTGAAAGAAATTATTTTATTGCAAAAAAATTGTTTTTTACCACTGCAAAAACGTATCACAAAAACACTGTCATTTTTATCTTATAAACAATTAGAATAAATTTGTTGCTATTATATTTAGAGTGATTATTTTTCCATATTCGTAAAGCTGGTATTTTTACACAAATTTAAAAAAAAAAGTTGCTCTAACTTAATTTGGGGCAAAAGTAGACACACTTAGACACTTTTTTTTTAAAATCACAGTTACTTTGTTTATAACAATTGAGACTTCTAATAAGTGCCATTTCGAAGATAAAGAGCTAAGTTTCTATGTGAAATGCTCCAAATAATGACTTCGATACAAGATGACTGTGAGTCAGTGGAGGGGGAACCTACAAATCCACGAGCAAATTGATAGAGCAAGTTATATCTCTGGAACTTGTTGACCGATTTTGATGTTTTTTTTTTTTTAATTTGGGGTACCTTCTTGCGTACATCACAAATATGCATTTTGTTAATAAATAAAAATTTAAATTAATCCAGTAATTTGTTTAAACATTAACAACATTTTTTTTTGCAAAATATCGACATCTTTTGTAATATTTTGTAATGGAACATTATAGGAATGATATTATTTTTTAATAAATTAATATTGAGATTAATTATTTTGTTTAAACTTTTATAAAAAAAAAAAAATCTAAATTATCAACATTTTCGGAGTTATTTTGACGGGAAGTTATAGATATAGGTTCAATTTATTTCTTATTAAAAAATTACCATTTAAATAATTGAACAATTTGTTTAATTTGTTACTATACCTTATACTACTCTTATTTGCACTCAAACATATATTTTATCTACATTAAGTATTTTTAATTATCAACCTGTACAAACATATTGACAGAGTTCATTCAAGTTATCAACTTATATTTGCTTAAGATAAGATAAGCAATCCGTTAGATTTTTTTTGAATAATATTTTTTACAAGCATTGTATGTTACCACGCTGCATACAACAATGTTTATTTTAAGTGTATTTGTTGGTTTCCTGTTTATTGCAGTATATCTTTTAAAGCAAAGTAAACAAGAGGAACCGCGAAAAATATTTGGAATTTATAGCCAGCCTGGCAAATGGTTTCTACTAAAATATTATGCATTTTTACTTCTTTTGTTTGTTAGAAGGCTGAAATATTATATTTTTGGAAAAAGTTTTTTTCATAAAGAAAGTGCGATAGAAAAACTTCAGCCTTTGTCTGGTCATAAATTGGTGAGTGACTTATTTCAATAATTTAGTTGATTTGGGTTCACGTGTTCATTTTTAGGCATTCGATGCAGTGTTTTTTCAAGCTGTCACTCAAAGTGGGATATATTTTTGTGTAGGAACAGAAAGACGACAAGAAGCAAAGGTGAATGGATTAGTGTACTTTCTGGTAAGATTTACATTAAATTTATTTTCGATTTTGAAAAAAATATGAAAGGGTATTTCATTAAAGATTAATAATTTTCTTACAGGAAGTTTAACGATCAACCTTTTCCGTTTTAGTTAGTTTCATTTTAGTGCTATTTAGATATGCAAAAAATAAGAGGTAGTGTAAAATTTTACTTCATGCAACACCAAGAGTGTTCCGTGACAAAGAGGTTGATATATTTGCACTAACCTTTATGGCAAACATTCTCCCAGATATTTAAATGAGTGGTATTTTTTTTTTAAAATTCGTAATCCCCAAATCTTTTAGTCTACAATTAAATAATCTACTAAGATAATACTACTTGAATATGTACTTAAAACGCAAACAAAATCCATATCAATTTCAAACAGAATAAGAATTATGAATCGTTTATTCCTCAGTAAGATGGAAACTAATATTACTGAAAACCTATTTAGTTTTTGGTCATAAAATTATTAGATACATAATTATTACTTACAAAAATAATATTTTAAATCGAAATGTACTTCTGGTAGCGCTGTACTTATTTAATTTGTTGTTTCTTAAAACTAGCTCTATTCCTGAACTAGAAGCTTGGTCGAATTAGCTCTATTTTGTCCACTGTGTCCGGTGCAATTTTTTATAATTTTCTATTTTATTTTATTTTGCATAATTTAATTTATAACTCTTTTAAAAATTGTAATATCTGAATACCAAGACGGTTTTATCAGCAAGAAAGCTTGTATAACCAACCTTGCTTGTTTTACACAAGCAGCATCTGCAGGCAGGCGAAATGAAGTCGATGTTATTTGTACGGATTTACAAAGGCATTTTTTATGTTCTCAGATAATTACGGCTTTTCCTCAATATTGTTATTTCTTTTTAAATCATATTTTTTTATACCTTAGCAATTTGTTGGACATGAAAGAGAACATAAAAGATATGGCAATCGCATTTCATCCCTGGAGAACCTCAAGGTTCTAATTTAGGATCGCTACTACTTTGTATTAATTATTTAACATAGGTAATTATTTCTAAGCTGCTTATGAGGACGGTCGAAAAGTAACGGGTGTTTTTTTTATTAACATGAATCTTTCAAACACTAAGCTAAGGGCTAAGGCTAAGGGAAATAAGCACTCTACGGAAAAAATGTCAATAATCAATAGTTATTAACACCAGGAGGTAAGTTTTGCGCCCGAGCGGAGCGAGGGCTGGCAATTGAGTTAGAGACTGGTAAATTATACTCAACTTAATAAGTAATTTATTTTTATACTACGGAAAAATATAACAAGTCAAAATGTCACTTTTTTCCTCTGCTCATCATTATTTTTAATTTAAATATTATAAGATATTACCAAAGAAAAACATAGCAAAGTGTTCTGCTAGGTATTTCCATACTTTTATATTCACTAATAGGGCCATCTTCAAACCGTTAGCCGACATTACTAAGTTCTTCCACATTAAATATAATATATACAGGGTCGGAAAGTCCCCATGGTTCATCGGCCGTTACGTGAGAGCGATAAAGTAAGTCATAGAAATCCGTGCGATAGAGAATGATGGCTATAATGAAAGCGTCTAATAGTCACCGCCCATTTCGCCTTTCCACAAATAAGAAGTGGATCTTATTCATCAAATATTATTTGATGGAGAAGTCAAGAACTCTAAAGTCACCGGCGAGTTTGTGGAGTGAATAATTAAGTCAACTATTTTCATAGAGGAGAACGTGAGTATATCAAAATACCCTAAGCTGAAAGAATTTTTGAAACGTAAGAATGACGGCTATATACCTAAGAAGTGTTTACAAGAGAACAAGTAAAAATTCAATACACATTTTTATAAGTGGGCAAGGATTTATTTGTCTGAAAAATATTGTAGGAAAAACCAAAGTCAACTTAAACTTACATAAAACTAAAGACTGGGAGAACAGACAAGAGATAAGAAGGGTTAATGTTCAGTGTTTCCCCCTCTTGCTAAGCTGACATCGACGATTTTATATCATTTTCTAGAAAGCACGATGTAATTAACTTTCCTTATGAAATTGATACCTTCAAATTAAGCAGATGTGAAATAGAAGACTTGAGCGTAGTATTGATTCCATGCTCTCTTTGTAACCCACGTAGAAAGAAACTGTAGCTTCTGTCAACAGAATGTCGGGGAATTTATTTTGAGAAATAGCAGAAATCTTACAAATATTAATTCATTTGTGGTACTTTTTATTAGTTTTGTATCCTCAAAATTCTGGAGTTACATTGTTTTAAGTTATTTAGAATTATATATTTATGTACACAGAGAAACTTTCTTAAATGTATTAAGCTTACAAGGATAGGATCATTTCTTTACAATTTAGTAAATAATTTTATAAAATGTTTATATTTGCATGAGATAATTGTGTCCTATTTCCAAGATTGGGTTCAAGACATTCTAAATTATTTCTTCAGATTTGGAAAGAACAAATGTATCTATTTACTGCTTGCTTACAATTTTAATGATTGCACAGACAGACAAAATTTTAAACCAGAAATCGGTCTGTACTTTTCCGGGGCCTTCTGACGAGCTGAATCCTGGATCACGACTGCTTCATCATCAGGCTTTCGAGATATTCGAACTTAAAAGTGCGAAGAACACAATTTTTCGTTACATTTGAGGTTATGTTACATCATAAGGTAATGTTTCCTGCAAAATTTGTTATTGCATCTGAAACTACTACTCTTTCCATTCAAAATCCTTTTTGTATCGTTCGAATATCTTTCCTCTTTGAGAAATAGTCTATCCGATTTGATTAATATTCGTCGATATTCGGAAATGGAGAGACTCAGACTCGAGAGATCAGACAACTCAAGAGACAAACTCATGATACATCAGAGATCAAACTCAAAAAAATTGATAATACGAACACATCAATTCCCATTGTTAAGGTTTTTGGGGTCCCTGAAACGAAAAAATGCTGGAATTTAGAAATGAGAAAATAAAAATTGTTGAATACCATACAAAGTTTCTAGAAGAAAATATAAATTATAAATTTTATCATGTTTTTGATAAAAAAATCATAAATTATATTTTTTGGCCATTATCACTAATTTATTAGTCTAATATAACATTTTCTGTTATTGGGTGTAATTCCTTAAGGCTCATTTTATGGATGTAAGACATCTGGAAGATTTGAATTGTACATTGTGTTACGTTTCCAGCGTTTTCTCCATCTATTCCAGTCTTGTACTTTATATAATTCAACGAAAAGTTGTAAACCGGGATTTTCTAATTCAAGCGAAAGCCTATTCGGCTTTATTGCACGAATAACTACTGTACTCGTTTACGTACTGGAAAATGAAACTTCAGAAACTCGCATTTTCTGTAAGACTCGTGAATATATACCTACAGGGTATCTCACAGTGAACACCCATTGGATTTTAAATGTAGAAAAAGTGCAAAATGATGATTTTGGGTTTCTTCAAGTAAAAAAATGACATGTCCCTGCTGGGGCGGGAAACTTGTGCATATTTGACTGGTCACAACAATGTTGGTATGAAGAATGAAGTAAGCAAATTTGCGGATATTTCAAAATCATTACTGTTACCTTGGGACTACGATCGAGATTTATTAGATTAAGTAGCCCTATTTTCTGTGTAGATATTTTCCATGGGACAGTGGAGATAAAACATTAAAAAACCTAGAGCTTAATGGAGGACATTTAAATCTAGGATCTGTTAACGTTGAAAAGAATCATTACAAGATACATTTTGATGGATTTTGGGACCTTGGGGTCCATGGGGTTTTGAACAAGGTGAATGTTACTGGCATTTGGGAGATACATTTCCAGAAATCAGCAGTGCTAGACTGAAGATTTAGTATTGAAAATGAATGAAACTGAGAAGCATAGCAAAGCTTCAAAAATAGAACATAAAACTTTTAGAGTAATCACAAAAGTCACAATCATAAAAACCTAATCGCGGAGAACCTAATGGTGGAGAATTTCAGAGAACTTGGATTATGTGGATTTCTTCCCCAATAACTTTAGTGACTAAACGAAGAGCAAGGTTAATGGTTTTATCAAGATTTAAAGAAAATGGAAAAGGTACCAGGGTAAGTGGGATGTAAATATGATGGAGAATTAGTGTTGGATGTTGACAAGACCCACTACATAGATTCTTTGAAGACAAAAAGTTCGCTACAAAAGAAATTGAATGTGAATATGTACTTTTCAAAAATGATGGATATTGTTGCCAAACATATTTGTGTCAGAGGATTCTAAATTATGGGGGGTAGGTTTATGGAATCCAGTTTACGGACCAGCCCCTTCCATGACGTTATAATCCTTAATTATATTTGCAAATAACCCATTTTTTGAGGATTTGGGGTCATTTTCTCGAAAGTAGTACATGCTGTCGCCAAATTGACTTCAGATTCGCGTGCAGCGTATTAGAAAAAATAACAGTAACAGAGTCTGATCAAAAGAACAGAGGTACCACGATTTTTGTTTTGTGTGCCTGTGTCATTTTTTTGTAGCTTCCAAAGCGACATATTTATTATTTTCAGAAAGCACTATTTTTATATAGTTTAAACTTTCACTTCAAAAAGCTCATACGTATCACTATTAATGACATTTTTAATAAGGTATTTTAGTTTTTCAAACCAACAAAACGTATTTATCCAGAACGATTTATGTGGGCGATGATAATAGCAAAAATAAATAATGTAGAATTTTCTTTATATTCGGGTGTCCCAAAAGTAACGCGGCATTTTCCTTCCGAAGATTAGACAGCATTGTACAGGATCGCATATTGTAGTAAACAAGTTGCGGTTAGACAAAATGGACAAGTACGGAGAGTATGTAGCTGAGACTGTGCGCAATTTACGTGGTAGAAGGAAGGCCCCGAATGAAACAACCATGATGAGAAGATAAGTTGACAGATTTGAACAAACAGGATCGGTTGCAAACAATAGAAAACCAGGACGGCCTCAATTCAACCGAAAATATTGCTACGGTGAGGATAGTGTGGTGGAAATTTGGTTAATAAAAAGTTTTCATTATTGGCGACCTTACAAGATGCCAGATTATTAAGATGTCCCTTAAAAATAATAGTAGTAATAATAGTGGTATTTACATTTCAACACTAAACAGTTTTTTAATACTTTTCCTCCCCGATGTGTCAAATTAAATGTTAGGCAATAAAGGAAAGATAGAAGACGACGACTGAAATAATTGTAGCTACAGCTCCAATTCAATAAAGCTCCAATTGTGCCTGAAACGGTCAGTGCTCGATAATGTAAATCTAGGATGCAGTTGCCCGAGTCCAGGCAAACTTTTTTTATTAATTCGTAACAGAACCTGTCGCTAAAGCTTGGTTAAACATTTTAGTCAGACCTTGAAACACTATTAGTTTACATTAACAACTTGAACAGTCGTTCAATCAGTTCAGTCGAATATTGAGGGACTAATAAAATATGTTCTCGAGAATTTGTTAATAAAATATCTTTTAATGAGTTGGAGGCGGTAATTATAATATAGCCCTATAAAGTCTGTTGTTAAGTTGGTCTAATAAAAATGCTGTTTTTGACATAACATGCAGAAAATTTGTTTATGTTCTAGCAAAATAATTTTTTTCAATCTATACAGGGTGTTAGAAGTTTGACTGCCTTAATTTTAACTTGGTAAAATTAACAGTTCAGGAAATATTTGTGATTTTTATCACAGTACACATCGAGCGGCGTCTCCACCATTTTCTGTTTTTCATTTTTAATTGAAAACAAAAAATGAAGTATAGGTACTATTTACCGATGAATCTTCACAAGAAATGGCATTCTTAACTCCCATAACTTACATTTATGGGATGAAGAGAATCCGGACGGTGCTGTGATAACAAAAGACCAGCACTGATTCATAATAATTAATGTATGGGCAAGAATAGTGGGTAATAATTTAATAGGTCCTTAAGTTTTTGATGAACGTCTGAATGGACATAGATATTTGGAGTTTCTGCAAATCAAGTACCGGGACATCCTGTATAGGGTGGAAATTCAACACCTTTGGGGGTTTCACGGGCTCTATTTTTGAGAAGAATTGAATCATGAAAACTACATCTCGATATCTTGATTCATTTAAGAGATAGAAAGCGTTCTTTTTATTTCATCGTTTTCTGTGATGTCGAATAATTTTTTTGCCATGCCAAATGACGTATGTTATATTTTTCCACAACTTTTTATTTTTCAGTTCAAATTCATACTCATTATACTTGTTTTAAGGTTACAAATTGTTTTTAGATACCAGAATACGGTCTGTTATTGAGTGAAAAGCTTCCTAAAACAACATTAAATGCAGATCCAGCCCCCCTTCTTTCAAATAAGGAATATGCAGCTGAAGGAATTTGTATCACACCAGTGGTTCCAATGAAACTGTGGAGGATATCGTTTAAAGGAAAGATGAGGTCAGTGCATTTTCATTTACATGCAATAAAGCATTTTTCGTATCTTTAATGTAATTTTAGTTAACGTAGTTGGTCTCATCTTCTATAATATCAGAAGTAATTCGTGGATCACAATGTAGGTATTCCACAGATTAAAAAAATATAATTTTATGTGACGTAGCAATCATATTTGTCGAGTCAGCCGAAAAAAATTAATCATTATCATTTCGTACTCATAAGTACTCCTTTCAAGTATCTGAAACAACCATCGTATGAATATAAATAAGCTATATGAAGTACACATCTTATAAAAAATATATTTTCTCTTTTATTTAAAAAAATATTCTTCGTACAAATACCTAGACTAGATGGATTCAAATAGCTGTTTTTGGATATTAATTATCCTATTTTCACACGGCAAATAATTGAGTTTCGTAACGGTTTGTCATTGTTAATTGTAAACGAATCATTAAAACTGAAGCTTTAGGGATTTTTCAAATGATAGATAGGATTTGTTACTTTGAAAACAGCTACCACTCCTTACAAATTGCTTCTAAATGTAATATATCACTAAAATATTTTCGAAGTGAAGCATTTGGTATGAAAAGTTATAAATTATTCTGGTCATTTTATTATAAAATTTTCTTTTCCATTTCTCAACTGATATTTACTCATTAATTTTACAAATTAATTAACTGATGTAATTTAAAGTCTAGAATTTTATTGTATTTTTGTTAACAGGCGTCTAGATGCTCCAGATAAACTTGTAAATGTGGACTTTCAAGCAGAATGGCGTAGCAATTTGCCCTGGTTCCTTGCCGAGGTCGACGTTCCCATTAAAATATTAGCTAGAACTATAGCGAGGGAACCGTGGACAGAAGAATTATTCCAGTCTTTGAAAGAGTAAGTTCAATATTGATTCACGAGAATAATTGATACTGATGTATTTTCTAAGGACATAAAAGAGGTCTAATACAGAGTAAAACAGTGACAAAATTTAAGAAGGGATTCTTTATAAGGGTTTTATGATCCTTCAGAGGTTAGGAGAGATTTCAACTGTCAAAAATAAATATTGCTAACATAATAAATTAAACATATTATTCGACGCAAGTAAACAATATGAGATTAGTCAAAAGTACGTACAGGTGATGAAACGACTATAAAGAAAAGTTTGTAATAACATTATTACTAATACAGCTATATACAGGGTGTGGCATGTATAATCTATAAAAACTACAGCTTCCTAACGATATTTGTCTTATACGAACAGTTTTTAATTTTTGCGTTTTTTCTTTCGTAAATTAAAGTTCAATTATGGATCAAAATATTTTCTCTGGAACGGTCCTGTCCGTGTGCTGTACGATGAGTTACGTGCTGTAGACCAGCCGCGTAAACAAATCGTCGTTGAAAGACAGAAAACTTCTCAATTTTTGGGAAATTTTTCAATGCAATGTCCAATAATTCAGCCAACCGGTTCTCCAAAAAGTCAGCATATGTTGGTCCATTTAGTCGTCCTTCAAAGAAATTGGGACCCACAAGTACATCGCCTACTATGCCAACCCAAACATTTACCCATTTACATTTATTGAGTTCCCCTAACCGCATGAGGATTTTCATTGGCCCATATGTGTATATTATGGAAATTCACTTCATCACGGGTAAGTGTCGCCTCATCTGTTACACAAACATAAGCAGGAAAGTCTACTTGATTGTCACATTGCCGTAAAAACCAAACGCATTCGTTGATCACAATCCGGGGTTAAAATCTGTTGAACTGGTTGCAGATGATAGGGGTGCAACAGTTGGCGCCTTAAGATGCGATGTACGGTACGAGATGAGATTCCTACTTGATATGCGAGTCGTCGAGTACTAATTGTGGGGTCTTCGTTAGGATTTTCCAACACTGCATCTTCAACATTAAGGTTCACTTGCTGACCACGTCCGTCTCGTATCTCGCAGCCGCTGAACGCACTGTATGATTGTATTTGCACATGGCGGGTGACGTTGTGGCCATCGTTCCCGGTATTACCTAGTCGCCGCGAGCGCATTTTCTCCGGTTGCACTAACACCATATCTATACGTTCGGAAGTCGTAAATGCATTGTTTTCTCGGTTTCTATGATTTTTTACATATGTGTCTTTGAAAACCTCTTCCACCAGAGAACTACCAAGTAAATACTAAATAGGCCTTCTTCTCTATTAACGTTTAATAATAATTAGTTTCGCACTGAAGCAGTTTTTTTAGACGCAGAATAATTGAAACAAATTAATTTATACTAAAGTTTTGTCAAGATAATTAAAATTTAAAACTGTTTCTTGTTCCAGAGCACATCAAACTCATTATGAACAAATGGGCTATTTAACTGGAAAATTGCAAATTGATGACAAAGTGATAACACTAACGGAAATGGATGCATTTCGGGACCATAGCTACGGTGAGCAAGTCGTTTTTTTTTTAAATTACGTGTGATGTAGGTAGTCGAAATTAATATATTTTCATTTATATTGGGTTTTACATATACTCACCAACATAATTACTACCTATAATATGAAAACACATCTGTTTAGAGTGGAGTGAATGAGTAACCCTTTACATGACGATAAACTCAAGTTACTTAGGTAGGGTAAGATTTGCAACTAATAACCACGTGAAGCATAGCTTGACGTGTGGTGCGGCTTTTAGCATATTTGTACTCGCGCTAGCCGATTCCGCATTATGACGTCAGAGAGAGGTTTGCGTGTTCAGACGAATATTGACACATTTGGGTTTTTCCATATAACTAATTTTTGGATTTTTGTAAAACTTCGCAATTTTGATTATATGGTAAGGCTATGTTTAATCATTTTGTGACGTTTAATCAAAATTTAACTTTTTTGTGAACATCCAATCTGCCTTCGTGTCAGAGATGACCTACTACTACTACTCTTTTTTCTCTTCTTTTTTTTTATTATGGATTATAACCATACCAGAACGGTAAGGCGATACAAACTTCAACTCTTGTATCGAGGTCCTACATTCGGTTGTTCTTGTTTCTGGCCGTGTATAATATATTTAGTCCATGTCTCCGCAGTTATGGCTTCCTGTAGATAATTTTCCATCTTCTAATATAAAGGTAGTGTTATTTTTTGCCATATAAGTTTTTATATCCACCTGGATTACTTCAATAGGACTTAGCTTAGATTAAGAGCTTGCAAACTTGTGGTTTGATTCATTGACTTGTATTTTCGAATTCTCCGATAGATTAATTAAGAGTAGAAAGGTCTCAGTGGTAAACAAGAATGATGCTGTCTGCAGTACGTTTCATTATACTTTTATGAAACTTCAAGAACCTTAAAGGCATTTTAGATAAACGCATGGATAAATTGATCTAATTGTAAAGTCTTTCCGAAGTCAGTTGAACATGCATAAAAACGCCTAGTAATAAAATATAATGAGTTTCATAGGCGTCCCTAAAAAAGTTTTCTGCGAAAAGTAAAAAATTATAATAATTTGTATATAATGTGCAGAAAATTTCTATTATATGTTCATTTTGCCAACAACATATTTTAATTATTTATGTCCTCAAACAATTTTATTATATTGATGGTAAATTTCGTTTTGTTCGGTTTCAAAAGGTCTCCAAAATGCCATGTATATAGTATAATAATATTAGTAAACAAAATATCCCTCTTATTTCTCCTTTTCGCATTGTAATATCATTGATTAATAGAAGATGCCTATAATAAATTAAGATTACTTGAATCACACCAAATTCCTCATTGCTGCACTGCACTGCTAGGCCATTTGTGGACAACTGAATTTATGGCCAGGTTGCCCAGTGCGGCTGTGTTTGTGCCGCGTTTGCCCGCGCACTCATTCTTCAACTGGGCGATTAGACCTGTATATGGGTATGGCTAAATAAATATGGGAACAAGTTTTTCAAATATTTCAATGTCGAGTTGCTGCTTCAGCGACCGAACCTGGTACATACTGCCAACCTCTTGGTTCTTCAGTTGAGATCGGAGAGAGTTATAACATCTGCGGAAGATCTGCATTGATGTTGATTTAAGTTACAATATTCTAAAAAAGTTTATCGAAATTTTAAGTCGTTGAAATATCGATTTTATAGAGGAACAGCTTCCAGAGCAGGCGTCCTTAAACACCTGCGATTTAAATTATGTTCAACGTTATAAATATTAAGTTCTCATTTCATTGTGACAATGTAAAGCTTAAGTTCTGAAGAAAATTAGTAATTGTATACTTCAAAAACGTTAAAGGAACAATTTTAACTTCAGGCAGTATTTTGATTTATATTTTTCAATTTGAATTTGATATGGAACCTTAAAGCACGATTATGTCGCGTATATAAAGTAATATATTTTTTACGTAGTAACTCATTCAATTTAATGCTCGGTGTAAAATTATTTCTGCTTGTAAAAAAGTTTATATTTGTTATTATTCTAATGAGTCATCAGTAAGCTTAGTGCACTTGTAGAGTCAAACAGAGCTGGCGCGAGGGTCGGTGGCCTTCACAGCTGACTCGCGTTTTGAACTGTTAAGTTATTTACGTAACTTTGCAGCAGTTGGTGTCGCGTCGATACTTTTCGTTTTTACGTCTGCTGTAAATTGTATTCGACGTGTATTTAAATAACTATTTATAAATAGTAACATAATTTAAATTAACAACTATTAGTTAACTTTTGCAACAGGCGTTCTTTGAGTTTCAAGTCTTATTCTTTGTCCCACTGAACTTCTAAGTCCATTGTTTATTGACTGGTATTGCATAACACTAAGGAAGTTTTATTATTGTTCATGTAAAACATACTAAAACTACATTTTTATGTTTCCTGTGTTTCATAACTATATCATATTAAAGAGGGGGAAATAGACAATGAAAACTAATATAATGTTTTTGTAACAAAGTACGGTGCATTTATCTAGGTACATATTTAACATAAATGTCGTACTAGGCTTTTGCGGTCTATCCAATTGTTACGAAAATACTATTCTAGCAATTTTCTCACAATTGGGACATTCCATTATGCATTATGAATATGAGCGTCGTTTAAATGTAAATACAAATTCTATTTTCCTTATAATGGTTGAATGTGCATGGCGTATATGAGGAAGGTATCAATTATACTCATTTAATAATCCACAAAATGCAATGGTATCTCCTTTACAGTCTATTATGTGAATTTTCTTATTGTTACTATCCAGTACGGTGCGTTCATGATGAAAGGAACAAATTCGTTTAAAATTCAAGTAATTATTTTGTGGAAAAACGCTCGATTAGTATTTTTAGTTGCGGATTTTTTGACATAAGAAAATTGTTAGAGGGTATCTCAAGAAGAACATAATATCATTGATTTTTATTTCCAATGGAACACCCTATATATTATGCCATTTTTGAATTGTGCGGTAAATTCTGGACACTTTTTGTGTAACATACCATATCTCTAAAATCAGCGGTTTTCGTAATAATGACGTTTGAAAATTCATATTTTGTAATACACACAAGTAATTAAATAAAATTGAACCACCTTGAAAATTTTTTTTAAAAGCCAACAAAAACAACCTGGTATGCCAAATTTTATCTTAAACAAAACAATTTTCTTCGTATTAATCGTTTTTCATTCCTTGACTCCTAGACCATTTTGATGTAGTATTTTGTAACAATAAAAACCAAACTGTCACCGACGTTTCTTGGACTTTATTTTTGTGGAGAAAATTTAAATGGAGAACGCTACTTAGACTTTCTTCAGGTTGAACTCATCCTCGCTTTAGCTGTTGTGTTTCCTAATCCACAAGATCCTCATAGTGACATATGGTACCAACACGTTGGGGCGCCTCCTCATTTTGCAAATGCTGTTCGACAATTTCTTGACTTAACTTTACCTTATAAATGGATTGAACGCATAGGTCCTATTGAGTGGCCACCAAGGTCACCGGATTTAACCCCTTTAGATTTTTTCCTATGGGGTTATTTGAAATTTAAAGTTTATGTCAATAGACCAAATAATCTTGATGGCCTGAAACAGAGAATATGCCAGGAAATAAGACTTATTCCAGCAGAGGTAACTGAAAATGTTCAACGGGAAATAATCCTTCGACTACAAAAATATATTGAGGTAAACGGACAAAACATTGAACATTTATTATAAATCAGTTGTTATTTAAATAATGTTTTATGATTTTTTTTCCATTTACCACATTTCAGACGTCATTATTACGAAAACCGCTGATTTTAGAGATATGGTATGTTATACAAAAAGTGTTCAGAATTTACCGTACAATTCAAAAATATACAGGGTGTTCCATTAAAAAATCAATGATGACTGCATATGTTCTTCTTGAGACACCCTTCTTATGTCAAAAAATCCGCAAATAAAAATACTAATCGACGTGCCCGAGCGTTTCTCTACAGAATAATTACCTGAATTTTAAACGAATTTGTTCCTTTCATCGGTGCTTAAGGTGGTTATGAATGAATTATCCGATTTCAACAAACGTTTTCTCGGTGATTTTGAGAATATAGAAAAATGAAAAGAAAATCTTAAGTGATATATCAAGTGGATTTTAATCCGAGTTAAATCCAAAAATCCTTATTAACATCTGTTGTGTTGGCATTTGTTGCACGATAATGTACGCCATCTCATCGATTGATATTTGTGACCGCTTTTTTTACTATAAATCTGCTCTGTTTTTTTTTCTGAGTAATGTTAAAATTGCGGTAAAAACTTAAGCCATCCTCTTGTCACCCTATTCTGTTTTCAAACAGATCCATATACCCAACCTTTTTGCTAAATCGTAAATCTCTGTTTCTCTGACATTTCACGTCACTCTGCTTTCAACAAAAATACTAATACCTCTGTACCCTTTTCATAACGATTAAGTCGTCTTCGTAAGAAAAAACTTAAAGGTTGTCTGTTTTATTAAATAATCCATGATATTTTTGCTAGTACGCTAAAGGTTGCAGGTACCCTGCTTGCCGTATACTTATTAATTATATTTTCTCACGTCTCCAGAGGAACGTTATTGCATTAGTGTTACCACGATAATGAAATTATATCGTTTTTACGATAAATTTACGTCACTCTTGTCTGTTCAGAAAAGCAATAGCAGCAGATTACGTTATATAGGGAGTGCAAAAAGTCAAAGGAAACAAAAATCTGCTACGACTAAAGTGGGGAGTAAATGTTGCATTCATAAATGCACGCTCCTGACTAGAGGAGGTGTGCTAGTAACAAATCAAAGCTGCAGTTCCATTCCGTTGTCGGTACTTTGATTTCATTCAGCCGTTTTCTCTGTCCTTGGATGGAGAAGCGGTGATCAGGGCCGTATTAACAGTGTTTTATTTGTGCAAGTAGTATATTAAAATTAATAATCGTGATAAACATATAATGTTTTAAAAAATATTAAAATTATTAATTAACACAGAGCTAGTGAATTGTGGAGGACCTCTGCAGACTGGAATCGACACGCGATCATACGATTTCCGCTTATCTGAATTTGCTGATTTACGTATGCGATTTAGGAAATAGGTTTATATCATGATTGAACATTATTTTGACTTGTTCTATCGATTCCTGAAGTTATGCAGATTAAACCTGAATCACTCTGTATATTTTTTAAGCGAATTGTTTCAAATTCTGAACATTTAATAATTTTCTGAGAACCGATGGAATATATGAATTACCATTGGAAATAATCTGAAGGCGTCAGTCTTGTAACCACTTAGGAACACCGACACCACTTCGTAGCTACTCGAAGAACTGTCACCGTCGATTAGATGTTGGAGGGCTATATTGTTGTATGTTTCAAAAATATTTAGAGTACCAAATTGTTATCTCTTCAGGTGTTTGGTTGTAGCCTGGAGACCATCATTATTTAACTTTTGTAAACACTTCTCTTTATGGTTATGTTTGGTAAAAAGTAAACTACTAGGATAGAGGACCGCACAAGAGAACGCCTCTGTGAACGGAACAGAACTAAAAGCCCGGAAAGCAAAGGGATCATGCAATTGATGAGAGAACCATAGCCGAGTGGCTTTTATTATTGTAATAATTGTTTTCATGGAAAAATAATGAACAGGTTGCTAGAGCTGACAGTGGCCGAAAGTTAGTTCCTGTTTTCTAACTCGTATAACTGTTCCCATACTTTCGAACTTGTAATAGTATCACGTCACTCGTTTATTACTTCGATGGGGACTGGACTGGTATTTTTACCATTTATTTTGGATAACTATTTATTATTTCGTACTTGCAGTAAATACTTGGTATCGCTAGTACAATTCGATGCTAGTTGGGCTTGTATAACTTCATTTGATAATATTGAAAACAAAAATTGTATTGTTTGAATTAACTTAATATCTTTAAAATAGAGTTAAAAATTCTTAGTTTGTTTTAAAAATAGTATAACTTTTAAATTAACTTGATATTGTTTTTCTTGAAAATTTTAGCCGAAGCATTTAGAAATCAACTAACTTTTAAATTAATATAAGAAGTTTGTTATTATCCTTTATCGAGCAATATTCAATACTGATATATCACTTAATTAGATGGAGTTTCAAAATGTTTCTCTTATTGCAGGTTACAAAAGGGACTGGTCCTTGATGCACCGGTATATTTTCCACATGTTTTACCTCGTAGATAAAACGAAGATATCAGTCGGAGTTATTTGTCAGCCTTCCACGTGTACCTATTTAGAAGTGGGTTTCATAGTTCACCCTAATGGCAAGATGGAGGCAATCGATAGTTGCGACTTATTACTGTATCAACATGGAGAGAACGGTATTCTAAATAAAGAACTATGTTTTACATTCGTCGCTAATGGCACTACTTACGAAGTAAAGGTTAATTACGAGCACGATGTCGTGCATTATGTAGGAAACGATATTGAGGCCAAGATGAACGAAAGGTTCCTTGTTTGCGAGGTAAATGGAATACCTGGACGAGGTCTGTCAGAGTGGCATTATAACAACGTTAAACAAAATTAATGAGTTATGCATTAAATTGATGTAGGTCTCGAGCCTCATTTCTTGTGATCTAATTGTCCCTAATGGAGCTTTGAGCCTTAAGTTATTTTTGCAGAAGGGAAGGACAACCTGTTTCCAAATGTTCCGATAAATTAAAAAATTGTGTCCCTTTTTGTTTTCCTTTTCTCAATTAAAAGGCATTATAAAATATCTAATCATTCATTTGCGTCGATTAGGATTTTTACTGGAATTATTCTAAATTCGTACCTTAATAAAATTGTATTTCAGGCTGAGAAAATTTAAGATATTTTTAATGCAGGGAAGTAACAAATTCGTTTAAATATTTTGTGGAGAAACGCTCGGACACGTTGATTATACCAACAACATACCCCGCCAAGCATTGCTCTGCACTGCACTGGCAAAGTGCCATATAAAAAAAATATTTACGACCTAGTGGACCAATAGAGGTTTGCTTTACCAATACCGGACTCGCCGAATTGCTATTCGAGTATAAATTACGAGACACATCATGGTCAAAGCATAGGAAGAAATTTCAGGAGAAGCGTATACGGTCCTGTGCTTTAAGATTTACAGGGTGTTCCATTAAAAAAATCAATGATGACTGCATGTGGTCTTCTTAATACACCCTGTATACAATTTTCTTATGTCGAAAAATCCGCAACTAAAAGTACTAATCTACGTGTCTCAGCATTTTTCCACAAAATAATTAGGTACCTGAATTTTAAACGAATTTGTTCCTTACATCAATATGGTACAATAAATCTGCTAAATAATACTTTAATTCTGCTTATCAAGACAGAATTCCTTCTAAATCGAAAACTGATTAAATTATGATGTGTCTATCAATCCTTTGAGGTATTATTTTTTCCTTTTTTTTGTCGCAAGTATATTTTTAGTTTAGTTTATTATGATTGATTTACGGCATCACTGAAAAGCTAAATTAAAATCCCTTCTATTCCTCCTTGGTATTAAATTTAAAATAAAAGTTTACTTATTTTTTACAATAATTTCCGTCTGGTTTAAGTAAAATAGTTAAAAATCGCGTTCTTATTTGCAAATTATGATTACTCTTCTCTTTTGACCCCGTATTTAAGCATTTCTTGAGTTCTCGAACAATTTGATTAAATACAGTTTTTAACGAAAACAAAAATTAAAGGCACTTTGTTTAGGTAAAATTTCACATTTTGAAATTTTTTGGACGCCCTGTTCTATTACATATTTGATTACTGCCCATGGCTTCTCAAGATAAGAATAACTTTTTCTCTTCTCGAAAAATCAACAAAAAAAAGTTTACAAAAGTGCGGCGCCCCATCCGTGGACACACTGTACATATACTATCCAAAAAGGTTTACACGGTGGTCATAAAAAATTTTATGTATAAATTTAATAAATTCCTTCGTTTGTCAGTTGTCTGCATGTCGTCAAATCAAAATAGCGCTCATCGAACCTTAAAACGTGAGTTACATACGAGGGGCAGACGAAAACTGCAAATCGTCCCAAGAGTAAAGTACCTTTATTTTCAACCCTAGAGGAAAATGTTATAATGAAAAGTTATTTCCCTCTAAGATTAGCCCGAATATAAAGTTTCAGTTCATTATGTTGAAAAAGCGATTCCTAACATTTTTGCAAGTTTCCCCTCGTACCATAATTCGAGCGAAAAGACCCATTACTAAAGTCACGTTTTTTTAGTACGCTTCTACAAGAAAGAAAGACATTATAATTCCTGAAAACAAGTTGAATCAGGAACTAATAAGGCCGTTATAAAAAATGTTGTATAAAATAAGAACAACTTTGGTGCAAACTTCATTTTATGGTCAAGAATAATATAAAAACTAAGAAAAATGGTAAACCTGGTATACACCTGTTCTTAAATTAACAGTTACAGTTCATTCGTTCAAAAAATATTAACCCTGGTTAACCCTAACTTAACCCTAACAAAATTAACCCTAATCCTAATTAACCCTAACAAAAAGAAAACTCATATCATTAAAAATCGAGTTTTAGTCTGCGGAAAACCCTACTTTTAGGCGAACCATCGTATTAGATACTTCTTGAGTAATATTAAATTAACCTTAACATTTAAATTATTCTTGAATATAAAATAAGGTTTGCACCAAATTTGTTCTTATATTCTACACCATATTTATAACGGCCTTATTAGTTCCTGATTCGACTTGTTTTCAGGAATTTTCAGGTTTTTCTTTCTTGTAGAAGCGTACTAAAAAAACGTGACTTTAATGGTGGATGTTTTCGCTCGAATTATGGTACGAGGGAAACTTGCAAAAAAAAATTCCCTAAAATGTATTGTTTATTAACCCCATTTTTGGCGATTTTTTCGATTTTTGCAATAATAATCATGATTCATTCGATTTGTAATTAGTCATATTTTGTAAAATTTAATTACAATCATTTTTTTCTTCTTCCATTTTCGCCTAAAATCAACTTGAAAAGATACACAATTAAATAGGAAGAAAAATATGAAATTTTTCGAATTTTTTTAACATATTGTGCCGCCAAAAGTTAAGCCCACGTTTTTTTTTATGCGCAAAAAGCCAAAAATCTTCATGGATATACGATTCACCCAAATATGGACTCTTTGAAACAGATACCGTCTGGACTACTATTCTTTTAGTGGGAAATAACTTTTCTTTAAAACATTTTCCCTATGGTTGAAAATAAAGGTACTTTACTCTTAGGCCGATTTGCAGCTTTCGTCTGCCCCTCGTATATAACAAACGTTTTTTGAAGTTCGATGAGCTTTATTTTGATTTGACGACATGCAGACAATTGACAATCGAAAGAATTTATTAAATTTATACATAGTTTTTTCCCATATGGTGCCAACTTTTTGGATAGCACTTATACTGACCTTTTGAAAATGTACACACAGGATGTCTCACAAAACTGACAAGTCAGAATCGTGAGCAGATCAGACTTTTCTTTATTCCTTTCATTTATTTCTGCTCTATTTATTGAAGTCGTTCATAGAAAATTTTTATATTTACTAACGTATGCCTTTTTGAAATTTTACATACTGAATTTTAAGTAAAATTAACCCAAGCTAGATTCGCGGGCAGACCAGATATTTCTTTATCCTTTTTACTTTTTCCTACTTTATTTATCAAAGTCCATTGATGAAAAATTTTGTATTTACTAACAAGATGTCTTTTTGAAATTTCACATATCGAATGTTTTGTAAAATTACCCTGATTTTGTGCTAGTTATTTCTAATAATGTTATACAATGTTATTGGTAGTATAAAGAATTCATCCCAAAGTAAAGAATTGTAAGGGACAGAGCCAAATTATTATTCGATAGGCCGTATTGCCCCGAGACTACTTACGTTGATAAACCCGAATGGGGACGCGTTGGCTTAAAAGTGTACATCTAGATCCTTTTCTTGAAAGAAATCCTGTAATTCCTACTATTGGAGACCTTTATTAAATCTTATTACACTCCTCTAAATCTCCATATATCCTAGTAGCCCTTAATAAATCCCCTTGGGGTAATTCCTCGTAAATTCTTATAAACTTCTTATTCATATTTTTACCTACATCTGCGACGCTTTGCTTGGTCGAGTGTATGGTACGTGTTTTTCTGCCAGTCAGTAGTATTGTGTATTGTGAGCATAGTGAGGCACACGGCATTACCATAGATTTAGCCTATTTCTGCTACTAGCATAATATAGATTACTACTGTTTATTTATTTGATAATGTATATAATGTAAATAATGTTCGCATTTGACGTTACAAGGAAATATTGCCATATTACCATCTGAAAAAAAAAATCTCACACCTGGCAAGTACATGTAATATCCATAAAATGTATTATAGACAGGAAATTATCGATACAACAAAAGGTGTTTAATAAAGTATATTTATTTTTACAACCATAATTAATATCTCATTTACTGTAAATTGGCACCGTAAAACATTTATTCACATCATATATACAAATAATACGGTATATTCCTTTAGAAATATCTTCAATGTTGTCACTAACTCTTCAATTGACACCTGGAACAAAAAAAAAACAATATAAATATAACACCCTTTTGATTACCTACTAAAAAGTATGAAAAAGCATAATTTTGGAAATATTTATAAAATGATTAATTGTTTAAACTTTTTCTAAAACCGGTTATTTATAGCAAAGTATTTAATTCTTTTTTAACAAAAAACACTCGAATATCTTAAATAGGAATGCCTATTTTTATAGCAGATTCGGATTCAACTGCTAATAGTAGGTAGCATTTGCCAAAAACATTTTTTTAAATTCATGATACATGACGAAATTCAATTTTTTCAACTTCTCCTACTGAACCTATGCATACGATTCTGCAATACGTTTGCAATAAAAAATACCACGTTTTCACTGTAAATAATCAAAATCAAGTTTTACAACAAATTTTATGTCTCAAATTTTCAATTATATACTGAAAAATGACTGGTTTTGAAGATACCATTTCTTTTGTTAAATTTTTATAAAAATGTTTTGTGTCTTTCGTGTTTTTTTTGACTGCAGAAGCAAAATAAATGTAGTATAACCTGTGAATACAATTCGTTGGAAATATTAGTTGTTTGAAATGCACAATGTTCAATCATTGCAAATTATATTAGTACCTGATAATGGTCTATTAATTTTCAATTATTATTGTAGCCTTTGGGTCACAACCATTAATATTTCAAATAATAATAAACATGCTACATAGCGGTTTAATATACTTTATGTTTATCAATAACATACAAATGAAATGTTAAATTGGGGTATATCTTGTTTATTACTGAGGGAATAAAAACCAATATGGAAAATACACTCCTGTATTATGGTAGAGTGTAATTCCCGGGCTGTTATTACTGGTTGTTTAGCAACGAGGGCACCTTCCTGGAATCGTTTATTTTGGGAGAAAACAAATGCGCCGAAAAGATGTGATTCTTCGACGAAAAAAATATATATAACAGTGTATATTAAAAAATGAGTCTCTCACGAAAACAAAGCCAGTTGTTATAGAAATGCAAGATATAAAAAAAGAACGAAAAGCACGGAATTTGAAAAGAAAATGTATGTTGATGTTTTCAAATACTATATTATATACAGAATGTTGGTAAAATATGGTGCCAAAATAAAACAGGTAAACATATTTTTTCAGATTTCAAATGAAAGTTGGTACGAATCGTTGGACAAGCTCTAGAAATAATATAATGACGGGAAATATTTTGTTTGTGACATTTTCAGCAAAATATTATGGGGTGCTTCGTGTTCATCCAAAGGAAAACGCAACGTGTAACAATATAACTTTTATTGACCGCTTCTTTACAGGACAGCACGACCGATCGGGAGCAAGACTTAACCCATACTGATAGTGCCGCTTCTTTGCCTGTTCTAAGATAAATTTTTGCCCTCTCGGTCGTGTACCTATTTCTAATCCAGGTAAAACAAATTAGGTACCTAAAGCTAATTAATGATGTACTTATCCCTAATCTCTAAATATAGCTTAATATAATGTGATATTAATTATTTTATACTTAATGTGATATTAATTACAAAAACAAATTTATTGCTAATTAAATATAAATATGTAATTGTAACATGCCGCCACAATATATTTACTATAAAAGACAAACAAATAGATACTCTTGTTGTTGATAATATTTCACACACTAAATATTTTAATGTATAATACGTAATTAAATTAAGACAAAAGTTAGCAAATTGGTGATAGAATCTTTTAATGTCATATATCGAAATTCATGTGACAAAATTTGGTCATAGATTCTTTAGACAAATTTAGGGGACCCGTATTTTTTCTTTTTGCCAACTGGCCCCCTCTTTCGGAGTTACAGACCCCTGAAATCTGCCCCTAAGAAGTCTTTTTTATATCTCAAAACCATGTTGTACGAGAATCACTAAATATGGTGCACAGGGGTTTTACGACATGTGGAATCTCACAGTGCTACGCTTTTTGGCGAGAAACCCCCTTAAGACACTTTTTCGTGGGCCTCCTTGTCTTTGGAACCAGAAAAATTTGGTCGCAAATTTGATTTTTTTTTTAATTTTTAGTTAGCTAGAAAGCCAATGAATTTAGAAATGTTTTTGTCTCTTGATATTTGTTTCGTAAAACTAAATGCTTTTGAGGAAAATGGCGAATCACGATATGCATTCGATCACATTTTGACATTTTTCTCGAAAACATTGCGTTGTACGAAAAAAGTATAAAGAGACAAAAAGTTTCTAAATTTAATGGCTTCCTAGTGGATAGATAATTTTTAAGAAATTTAAATATGCGACCAAATTTTTTGGTTCCAAAGACAAGGGGGCCCATGAAAAATTGTCTTAAGGGGGTTCCCCGTCAAAAAATGTAGCACCATCAGATTCCACATGTCATAAAATCCCTGTGTACCAAATTTAGTGATTCTCGTACAACAGGGTTCTGAGATATAAAAAAAAGATGGCAAAAATAAAAAATACGGGTCCCCTAAATTTGTCTTAAGAATCTGAGACCAGAATTTGTTGCATGAGTTTCGGGACACCCTGTATAACTTATTGGAAATGAAAGGTGCTTCGGCCTGTGTGACTTCAACATGAGTGACCAAATTTATGATTTAAATTCCTTTTTTCCTAGCTCCGCTATCGCTCCCTTCTTTTATTACACTAGGCCTCGCGATGAATAGGACTCGGCCTGATTTAATGTAAGAATAATATAATATTTGAACATATTATTGGGAAATGGAAAAGGGCAGATATTTTACATATAAAGCTCGGATCAAGATGATGGTTCAGTCCCACACAGTAGCAGCTATTGAAACGCGGTGACGCGTGCGTTGTTATGGAAGCGGGTGCGACGAGTATTGGATCGTTTTTGAAGTACGTGGAAATTTTCATCTGAGCTGCTATTGCTGCGAAGTATTTTTCGAATTCTATTAAGGACGGGATTTTGTACAAAAAATATCGCCCAGCGTGAGTCACGAAACGGGACCCCGGCAGGTGCTGTTCTAGCGGCCAACGCTTCAAGTCTAATAATTCCGCTGCACCGGATATTCGTCCGATTTTTCAGGAACGGCTCCAATTTGTGTACATACAATCTTATAAGGAAAGAGAGTAAATATTTTATTAATCAGTAATAGATTATCGAGGACAATAATATTTTTTTATTGAGTAGGCAATAATTTTTAGTTAATAAGCTTAAACAATCTTATAATTACTATTCCTTCATTATAAAAACAGAAATACGGTTTTTAAAATTACATGTAGTTTCTTCTTCAAAAGTGACCTTAAAACACGTATAACATGGAATAGTCAACAGTCTAATGTTTATATTTTCACATTAACAATCCGATAATGTAAATTAACTGCTATTTTCAGTAAAAAAAAATATACCTAACCTGAAATATTTTTTTACTTTGACGAGTCGTTTTAACTTAAAAACACTGCTTAATTACTAAAATATATAGAATCTTGCTACTAATTGCGTTTGGAGAATAATATGTATAGGCATAAAATATATATATAATATTACTGTATGTATTTAGTCCATTGAAATGAAGGCTGAACCTCCATTTTTTCCTCTGTCGATCAAACCTGGGCGCAAATATGTTTTCGACCCTCAGGAATCCGAATCCGCAAAAATTTTTGACCTAGGTGATCAGGCAAGGGGTCAAAAGGTCAAAAAACCCGTAAAAAATAAGGTTTTTCGCAAATATCTCGTAAACTACGGCAAGTAGCAAAAAAATAATTGCACCATCGTGTTCCCAGGGAAATTTTACATCGATTTTATGCTATTGCTTATTAAAATTAAATAAATTTATGTCATGTTTTGGACAATTACCAAGCAATATAATGCGATTTCAAATATAATTAGCCTGCAGTTATAGTGGATCTGAATTCAATTGCCAGATACACTATTTTTTTTGCTACTTACTTTAATTTTTAAATGGAAAACCAAAAATAATACTAATGAAGAACAGAAAAAAAACTTTTTTAGAACGAAATACTTATTGCAAAAATGAAATATAGTGCTCTGAAAAATCGACTTGTAAAGCTTATTCTACAAATACTAAAAAAGTCAAAATTTGTATAAACAATTGTTCCCAGAATGACAACTTTTTATTTCTAAATTTTGAAGACTTTTGAAGAATTGAATAATGAATAAAATAAGCCTAGTAGTCCGGGCGAATTAGGTTTTTTTTCAAAAATCGGGCCTAAATCTAATCTAAATAAATTTTAGTGTCATCTAGACACTTGAAGGAACACAGGAAAATTTGGAAAATAATTTTTAACTTGACTTTTGTTAAAGTTATTCAATTGTTAATGAACTAATTTTTCGTGGACTTAATCTTTCATAAAATTTGTTGTAAAAGTTTAAATAATGTATCTAAAAATTTTTTTCTTTCTCGAAGGTCTTTTTATATACATAATAAACAAGATTCCGTTGTAAAAGTTTATAACAGTTTTATCATTTGTTTATAATGATTTTTAAAGTTAACAAAAAATGAAAAATCCGGGAAATGTTATAAATTTTTTTTTTACCAAATGTTTGATTTTACTTGTTTTTCTATTAATATATTGCGTTTATTAACTTAGCTATAACAAATTTATAAACAAATGGACAAGTTTAATATTTTTGAAACATTTTTTTGCTATTTTATTGTCTTGGTAAAATAATGATTTTTAAAAACAAAAATTTTTCTTGAATAAATTTTTTAATTGTTTATAATCGTTTTTTTGATTTATTTGTCATTTAAATTATTTATTAAGAATTTTTTTTTAAATCATCATTTGCTATTATCAATATAATTACAAAAAAAAAATTATTCAAATTTTCATTGTTTATTTTATAACTCAAAAGTTCATTGTATTCCGTAAATATCTTCCAGGCTGCACAATTGGTTAAAATTTTGAGTTTCTGCTCTTACAAAAGTTAAGTGTTTAATTAAAAATAGACAAAATTGAAGAAAACAACAAGAAGAATATAAAATATTGACATTAGTTAGAAAAAAAGTACAGAAAATCCAGAAAA